GTCCGTCCAGCTCAACGCACCAAACTCAGATCAAACTGTCAAACAGTGCTGATCAGATATGGATCCAGATTCTGTTACTGCGTTGACTATTTCTCTGATAGAACATTCAGAAACATATTTTAGGGCAGTGGTTCTCCCCACTAGGGGTCGCGAGGCCTTCTTGATTTTAAGGCATGTAACAAAACTTTAAAAATATACACAGCAGGCCTATCGCTCAACATTTGGTCCACTTCTGTAAAGAAAAGTAAATGTAAATTGTTTAATCTAACAACGGCCAAAGTGCCAGAGACAAGAAAACAGTGAATTTGTCAAAAAAGAAGCCTATTAAGCCTGTATGATTATTAGAAATGACCAATTAAATACATAACAGACACATAACACATTGTATAAAAAGTCAAAAGCTCAAAATTCATGTAAATGAATGACATCACTGAAGGAAGACACCAATGCAGTCTCTGTCTGATCTAAAGTTCGTTCTCTATGTGAACCTAAATTTAGTAAAGACAGAGATTCTCCAGCAGAAAGACAGCTCAGTTAAGTATTTTTAGTTTGGGTAAATTTAAATGAAAAACATTTGCACTCTGTGCTCACTGTTTAATATCATCTTATTGGGTTTTTTCACCCACTGGGAAAATAATGGATCACAGGGGAAGTCTTTAGCAGAACATGAGGGCTGCGCAGAGGTTTAACTGATACACACTGTGTTTTTATTACAGCTTCATAAAAACACTCGTATTATCTCACAGGACTGATTATCATTCAGTCGTCGCCTCAGCTGTAATTACAGAGAGCTACCTGTTTGAGTTTCTTTACATCTTCAAATTAAATTTATTTGGTTGCTTCTAACTTTTGGTCTAAAAATTCATCAATATATTAAAGTTTCTCCCAAAGACAATTCATTACCAATTCGCCCTCTGGCAGTGAATTAAAAGGCGCCCTTTCCATATTCATAAGCTCCCATATCGATCATTGCTGATCACGACTCTACCGATTGACAATTAGTGGGTAAAATAAGCAGAGCTACAACTTGAACGTAACAATTATTAAAGTAAAGAGGTACGCTGTCACTGCTGAGGATAACATAAAGTCTCCCGTGAAAATCACACGGGACACGAGAGTCTGAGAGCGAAGCCAAGTCTCACTTGAAAGGTGCTTTATCCACGGGGAACTCTTGTGAAGCTGAATTATTGAAGAGAGCCGCGCTGTCAAACTCATCCAAGCCTGAATCTCCATCAGTTTTAGAATTAAAGGTTTGAATGTCATATTGATCCGTAGTGTCCGTTTTCGTCATGCTGTCGCCAGCAACCCCCCCTCCTCAGACTGTCTCCCCTCTCCCTCTGAGTGAGTTTTCTTCTGGTATTTTCCAGACCTGTTTCACCTGCCCTCTAAACCTTCAATTTAGGGGCTGGATATGGCTCATGAAGGGTCTGTCCTCCAAGGGCCGGACTAAAAAGCAATCTACACCAGCAGAGTTATTGAAGCTTTTCAGAACAGAAAGTAGACCCTTTTCTTCAAGGCTATACGGTACGTTATGTATTCTTGTTACAATCAATATTGAGGTCATCTCACTTGTCTATCTCATGGAATGGTTACGCATTCAATTTATCAAATGTAATAACCCACAATAACTCTCAGAGATGCACATTTAGACAGTTTTTTAGAATATGATGGGGATCTAAATGTACCATGAACCGGTCGATGGTCCGATTCTAAAGTTATGAATCTGTCGACTGAAGCTTTGCTGCTCTCTTGAAAGGTAAAAGGTCACTCGCTGACAACGCCGACAGGATTTATAGCGCACCATCAAATCTAAAATCTAAAGTTTGGAAGACATTTTGATTCTCTAGGAAGGAAGGAAAGTTGGATAAAAGTCTGTCCATTTGTCATTTGTCTCAAGAACACACAGGACATGGATATTAAGCAGTTTTCAGCCATATTATGCTTAAACTGGGCAAGGTCTAAGGTAATCACGGCGGAAAGTTTTTTGTGTCTGTTAGAAAAACAATAAACAAAATTACTGTAATTCTGAAATGAGACATTTGTCTTCCATTTTGTCCCATAAAGAAAAAGAAATACTTCTGGTTCTGATTTCCTGGTATTTTATAAAATATATGTATTTGAAGATAAGCAAATATCCTCATTCCTGTTTCCAGAAGCCTGAACTTTGCCAGTCGCAGTGCTTATGAGCATCAAAGCTGCATAACTTACCTGTCCAACCTGCGAGACAGTGACAGAAGCCGGTCACTGGATCACAGCCATCAGCGTTGACACAGTCACACATCTCTCTGCAGTCCAGCCCGTACGATCCATCCTAACGACAGCGAGACGACAAAAATACAGATAATGCACTTTAACACAAAACTATCTCTTAAATCACAAATTATATTCTGTGCAACATGCTAGAGAAGTATCAAACTCTAATGTCTGCCATGAGCACTCACAGGACATGGTACGTCGCAGTATTCGTCCTTCCAGCCCGGCGAGCAGGTGCAGGTCCCGTTGACGGGGTCGCAGGCTGCCTCATTGGCACACTGACACGTCTGATTGCAGCTCAGTCCCCAAGTACCACTGGAACAAGGGATGGAGCAGTCCACGCTCTGCCAGCCTGGACAGACACAAGACCATCAGTGCACCAATATATTGAAGCACTTATTGTGTGTAATATGCACCTGTGAAGCATCTTATAACTCTGGTTTGGGTTTATTTTTTTTACTTAATATTTCATTTAAATTAAAATTCTGGATCATTTCAGATTCATTTTTTCATAGTGTTGAATTGATTTCAGCTAATACATATCACCATAAAACTTTCCCTGTTGAACACTTGCATTAAGATTATTTTTTGTGTTACAAGTTTTCTGAAATGTTTAAATATGCAAATGAAGTATTCTGTAATTAAAATGAACAATTTTGCATTTTCCAGAATCTGAACATCAGTTCAAAATCATTGTTTAATTTTGTTGACATGTTAGAGCCACAGGTTTTTATCTCTTTATCACTCCATAAATCTGTCAGCAGCCATTAAGAAATATCAATTTTTAGCATGTTTTTAGGAATAAAATTTTATATTTTATTATTAAATCAGACTGTAAATGATATATAATCAAACCCCTCTGTAAAAACCCTCACAATATAGAGAGGAATCAATATTTGCTGAGGTGCTGGAAACGTCAATGTGTCCAAACTTAAAACTGAAGATTTCTGCACACTTGCAATATTTTACTTTATTTAGGAAGCTTTTCGCTCTGTTAATAAAGTGATATACTGCATGGATTTAAGTGTGCAGAAATCTCAAGTTAATGCTAACCTTTGGTAAAATCTACGACGTAAATAAACAAATTGCAGTAAAATAAACACCCAATTGTCATATAGGCTTAGAAACATGAGCAGTCAGGTTGTAAACAATACACTTTATCCAGACTATCTAAACCAGTGGTTCATGGGGGGTCGCGAGGCCTTCTTGATTTTAAGAAAACGTCAAAATATACACGTCCATATTGACAAAATGTTTTAACGTTTATATTTGTGTAGGCGATCTAAGCAGCTTAAAAGGTTTTTTACATCCAGATAATTTCTATAAAATCCGCATCAGGCTAGTAAAGGAGACCTGTGTCTATTTGGGACTCTATATCTATACCAGCTGCTGTAAAGGTGAATGGTGAATGTTTCCCCTCGGTATATGTGGGGGTCTAAAAAAACAACAAATGATGATCTGATTGTTGGTGTTTCTGGGCCAGTTTATTGACTTTCTTTAGCAATGTTGTAACATTCTTAGATTTCAGCTGACGGACTGACGGCCAAAACTATAAAAATGTGACCCAATTGATCCTGAAAACTGTAGTGTAGTGTACTAACTGTACAGGGACCCTTATGATTCAATTATATGCAGATACTTTGTTTAATGCCACCACAAGGGGCTCAGAATTAAAAGTGATATTATTAAATAAATGTGTGTGTTACAGCAAAGTTTTCAAATATGAGCAAATATATTATTTTGTTGTCATATATTTAGTCTTTATTTGAATGAATATATTTATCTTTTGTATCTTCTGTGTTTACTTTGTACTTGCTGGTTCTTAAAATGTGGACATACTGGGACACACTGGTGGCCTTTGTTCCATCTCTTTCCTCTCATTTCCTGCCATCCCTCCAACTGTCTGCTATCTAATAAAGGCATAAAAACGCCCCCTAAAAAGAACGTGGACATTTCTCTGCACTGAATTTCACATATTTTTTGTCCTGTGGTGTATTTATCTCATTTCAGTGATTACTGGCTTTTGTCCTGAGGAAGGCAACGTGTGCTGAAACGCTGATGCTTCGAATTTTAAATTAAAAATTGCGTTGGAGTTATGAGTGCCCTGATTTTCCCTCCTTCCTTCAGTCTTCACCACGAGCAGATGCAGGATGCAAGGATGCATCATGTCTCAAAAATGTGTCAAATATCCTTTTGATATGCAGCCACTGATGCCTCTTTATGCCCCTTTAGGAGCCTTAATCATATTCTGAACTGTGTATAGATGATCAGATGTTTGCTTACATCTAGCATGAAGAACATTATAGTAACATGTTTGATAAGACTGAACTTTCCCCCTCAGTGGCTCTAGAAGAAAAAGGGAATAAGGGTTTACAGGGTGAAGACAGCTATCCAAAGCTCTCAGGCCCCCGGTCCTGCGCTGTGCCTCAGATGTCTCTCCACTTTAATTACCCATGTTCCCCACGAGGTTCGGTGGCGCATTAATATTTAAAGATGCTGATATTGAGAGATATTAAGGAAGTGAAGTAAAGAACAAAATACAAAACAAGACAAAGTTCTGGAGATCGTTGTTAAGGTAGGTACTTTTACTTTTTTGGGGTGGTCAGGAGTTTCTGGCTGGGTAGACGACCAAAATGATCGATCAATAACTGAAACATAATAAAAAAATAAAGTAGAATTACCAGTTATATGCCTCTGTCAACCAGTAAAGTATCTCCTCTGAGTCGAGTTAGACTCTATAATATATGTAGTGAAGACTTTGAAGGGAGTATGTAACAGCTATTAAGGCGCTGATACATATGTATGATTCCAGTGAAGTTTGAACTCATTAATGAAGGATTATCAGAGATGTATTGGCTAAACAAGTACACATGTACTTGTTTACTATGTAAAGATGGATTCTTATATAGAGTACAGCATTACAAAGCGTGGAGCTTTTGTTTTCTCCTTTTTAGATGCAAAGGGAAATCCATTAATTGGCCTCAAACTGTTATACATAAACGCACATTAGCTTTCTTACTAAAGTCTCCTGATCTGACTAATTGTTGGTTATGAAGTCGATTTAAAGCTCCAGTGTGAAACATTTAGGAGGATATACTGGCAGAAAATATGAATATAATATTCAGAGGTATGTTTTCATTAGTGTATAATCACCTGAAAATAAGAATGTTGTTTTCGTTATCTTAAAACGAGCTGTTTTTATCTACAGAGCGAGNNTGTTGAACCGCCATGTTTCTACATGTTGAGCTGAAACTGGGGTATATTTGGCATTTTTGCATAAAATGAGACAATGGAGCTAAGAGATGTTTCTGGGACTGAGACCAAACTGAAAGCAGTTTGTAAAACGGTTAAAATCCTCGATTTCAGACTCCTCGGTTACTGCGGCTGACAAATCCTGCCAGAAAACACCAAGTGGAAAAAACCCCTTTAACTCTGTAAGAAACAAACAAACACCTTATCCTGTTCTTTGGAGATTTCTCAGTGGATAACAAATCAATAAAAGATGGTTATATCACAGTCAGATGTTTCCAGGTATAATGGAGGCTTCCATTTATTGTGTTTACAGTATATGTGTGAGATATGAGATACATAAAGAGCAATCAAATCCACCAAAGAAGCCTCCAACAATAGTGAAGAAAGAAAGTAATGCAGCTACAACAGAGGTTGTGCTGTTGAATTACAACTGCTGTATTTATATGTCCAACTTCACAGGAAACTAATTGATTCTGATTGTCAGGTTTGTTTTCTGTACAGGTTTGCCGGATGGTGATTGGTCGGTTGACAACAGCTCTGCTTTTAACGTTATCGGAGATATCAGGAATCTGACATCTTGGAGGAAAGAAGAAGCATCAACGAGCTGCAGATACCTACAAAAGACGCCATTTCTGGCAGTTACACCTACATAAACTGATCCAGCTGTCATTGATTTGACAACCTCTGTATGGAGATTTTCCAGCAGTGGTGTGTATGACAGCTGATACCGATATAAACAACAAACTGGGTCAGCCCAAGAAGATCTACCGAACCTTTTGTTAAACAGATTTGTGTGGATCATGCTTAGTTTTTTCTTTTCCGTCTTTCCCGATGTAACAGATCCTCTCCCATTAATCATCTCACGGCCCCTCAGATTTATCTGGTGACCCTTTTGGAGGGGCCGGACCTCTAGGTTGAGAACCCCTGCACTAAACTGAATATAACCAACTGGAGCAGCTACAACAGTAAAAAGCTGCTCCAACATTGATGCATCAGTTTTAACAATCTAACAATGTCACATACATCATACATTTGTTTCTGTTTCTGTTTTTTTATTTTATTTTGTTTGTTGTTGATTTTGAATGTGGGACTTTAACTCTAATGGAGTATTTGTACAGTTTTATTGGTACTTTCAGGTTAGTAAAGGATCCTAATACTTCTTCCACCACTGTGTATTATTTATTAGGTTTTTGTTTTCCATACATAGGCTCCTTTTTGACAAATGTAATGTTTTCTTCCCTGTGAATATAACTTGTGTTCAAAGTTTAGATCTGAAATAATAATCTAAACTAGAAATAACAGCTTCATATAGGTAGTTCATACAGAAATGAACCAAATGCTGACATATCGGCCTACTGTGTATATCTTTTAAAGTCTTTAAAGGCCTCGCGACACTCCCTGTGAAACTTTGGCGACCTCTAGTGGGGGAACTTAACACATGTTCAATAAAATGGGAAACAGATCACTAATATCTCCTGAAATCCATCATGAATGAACGCTCTGTAGCGGTGTAGTGCGGGATCAGAGAGCTGAACAGAACCTTCTCTGCAGATACAGGAGCCGTCAATGTGCGAGCAGGAGATCTCGTTGTGGCAGGAGCACGAGGAGGTGCAGTTGGTCCCGTAGAGGCTCGCAGGACAGCTGATAGAGCAGTCGTCCCCCTGGACACAAAGGACAGACAGAGAGACACTCAAACTGATGCTCACACACTACAATTGCAAAACTAGCAACGTATTTTAAAACCATAAACATCAAATCCATCGTCGAAGCAAAGGATCATTATCTTTTTTTAATTTTAAAATGTTGAACATTCCCTGTATATTTTAATCTCTTATATACTCTTTTTCTCTTTGTTTATATACTGTAGAATATATATTGTAACTTTAAAGTTTATAGGGGTGGCATGAAGTATCTCAGTGTCTCAGCTTCCTTTCCATTACCAATTTGCACAATTCCAACACTGTTTATGGATATTAACATTGTTCTTGCCCCAAACTGCATTAGATTAGCATAAAGTGGGCGTGTCTGCAAAGGGGAGACTCATGGGTACCCATAAGATCCGTTTTCTATCAGATATCTTCAGGTCGGAGCAGTGGCGTTACGATTCAGAGCAGGACCCCAGCGCGAGATGATCAAAGCGGCCCTTCCTACCACAATTAGATGTAACCTGATGTAATGTCAGTGGCGAATTAAAGAAGTGAAAGCACAAAGCTTTAAAGTGACCAGTAACAGTGAAATGCACAGCATAGCTGACACCTAAATTAGATGAAAACAGATAGCAGTGCTACAGAAGATGAGTCATAATAGGAAGGCTGAGGCCGTAACAGTAGACTACTTCACCATGGAGCACCATAAGAGATTAAAACACGCCTTCACACATATGAAAACATGATCCTATTAGTGACTCATATGGAAAATGATGATTTATAGGCATTATGAACACGAAACACTCCTGTGTAGATTGTTTACTGTACATAAATGTACTGTGAAGGACACCATGGAGTAAGTCACTGACCTTAGCTCACTGACTGCTATAAATACCTACATCATTTAATTGATTGATGTAAGTTCAGCTCACGTCAATCGACATTACAGCAGCGGTGCAGATACGACTGGTTAGTTACGGGCGCTCAACTGCTGCAGGCCCTTATACAACTGAATCACCTTCCGCCGCTGGGTCAGAGGTCACGAGATCACTGTGAAAGTAGCCATACAGGTTTTTCCATCGCCAGAATGCAGCCTAAAATTGGAGCGTTATTTAGCTTCATTCCTAACATGCTAGCATGACACAGCCGGTACCAATGGGTGCAGTCGATCATCTAGTTTCATATAATACTAGTATCTCCACTCTGGCTTTAAAACACAGCCTCTGAAAGACAGAGTGGAAGAGGTTAGGATAATGGGGTGGCCAATCAGATTTCACCAGTTGACATGCACCAAATGTTTTTGTTTTTTTTCCTGGTTAGTTACAATAAATACAAATACAGAGATATAATACAATAAAAGTTTGCAGGAGGAACTCAAAATTGAAGAACATGCTACTGTTGGCTGTATTCCCTGTTAACTAGTGCACTACATTCACCCTGCAGCATATTATCTGAGTTGAATTCTCAATGTGAAATGTCTGCTCTATATATTGCCTCAAAAAATGTCTGTGGCATGTACACTGCTAACAATCCCACCATACATTGGCTCATATTTTATCAACGTGAACAGTTACACAGCTACAGTGGACAACTACTCCACAGCTGTCAGTCTGCTACATTCATAAATGTAAAGTGGTGAAGATATGTTTTATTTACACGTTTCTTTCTGTCATGCAGTGTGCTCATAACTGTTAATTACTAATCTAGCTAAAGAGGAGTTTCATGAAAACTGCAACCCACATTTGGAGTTTTAGGAATACGCTGACTGACAGCAGGTTTCTCACCACCATCTCCCCCCAACCTGCCGCTTAACAGGAAAACACAGTTCACCTTTAAATTCATAATAAACCCACGACTGCATTAAACCTGATGTCAGAGATGTAGCAAACAAGCGCATGTATTATGGAGGAGAGAGGTGATCATCAGCGCCGGCGTCCCTGCAGAGAGACACGATGTCTGCACTCGTCCAATCAGTGGAGGACATGGTCAGACCAGCCAGAAGGACAGCTTGGCATTAGCAGAATGAGGAACCTTACTCTGCGCTGTTAGCGTGCTGTGAAAATGAGCTGCACACAACCTGAACCTCCAGCACGCTGTCGCATTGATCAGGACCTTCAACATATAAACTGTGCTAATTAAAGCCGTCTGCTTCCAACCTGCTGCCTTTGAATCGCTATTAATCTAATATTCACAAAGCCGGCCAAATGTGCAAAGACAGGAGAAGAGAGAAGCCTTATTAAAAAGTTGGAGAATTAATTCTTAAGGAAATAGGAAAAAAAAACCTTTGTTAATAAATAACGTGTGTGAGCCCAATAAAAGGAATCATCAGAATTTCCCAGGGGAAGTTCTAACAAGTGACCTCTAGAATAATAAATCCACGTGGATCGATGGATTCTGATATTTATCATTTTGAACCTGGAGTGTGTGGAGCTTCATCCGCCTGTTGCTTTTATGTCTCGTCCAATAAATAAATAAACCGGCTCGCTTTCTTCTTAAAACTGCATTCAATGAGGATTACATAGAATATAAATGTAATCAAAAGATGAAAGATAACTTCAATTACGTGCTCGTCACTGGAGTGGAGGTGCATTATAAGGCCAGCAGGTCATTAGGTTTATAACATTCTCACATCCTTTGGATAATAATGGCAAAAAATACACTTCATCCAGCCTGCAGGTGTGAATGTGTGGAGAGAGGATTGCTCTCAGAAAAACTTCCCTGGTTAGATGAAGGTCACAAAAACCAAGGATGTGTTTCTTATTGAGCCTGTCGCTGTGACATAAAGCCCCAAAGAACAGCACAGGTCAACAGTTTTCCTTCATAGGCGTATCATCACAAAGAGGCTGTAAAACAATGCAGAGAAACATTGAGACAGATTATATCACTGCTCCTTTAGACCTGTTCATAGACCTGTTAATATCATTGCTGTATAATATATTTTGTGTCCTGTGTATTTATTTATTCAGTATGCCACTACCTCCTCCTGTAACCTGTGCAATATTATATTTGAACTTTAAATCTGTATAGTAATACTGTATATAGTTTGTACATACAACCCTAATTCTATTTTTTTCTTGATATCTTGTATTATTTTGTTATTTAATGTGCATTTCTTCTTTTATCTGCTGTGTTTTATCTGGAGCTGCTGTAACAAGTGAATTTCCCCAGTGTGCGATCAATAAAGTCAAACCTATCTTTTTAATTTTAAGTAACTCAAACTCAATTTTGGAAGTTAAGCAGGTAATTTTAAGCGACATTAACTTAGTACAGAAAGATTCCTGATTAAGTAGTTTACTTTGTTTTTTACTGTACAAATAACAAATATAAAGTTAAGTCAGTGTCATTTAAAATTACTAAAGCTACTTCATCAAGAATGTTTTTAACTTACAAAAGTAAGTTGTAACCTTAGAAAACAAAATGGAACTAAGATATTTAGCATCAAAAATGTGCCTTTTTTCTATCCTGATTACGTTACGTACGTCAGTTACATGTAATCCATTACTCCCACATACAGCCAGTATGCTAACATTAGAAACTACAGTCAAACTACAAACATACTAATAATCGCCGAAGGTAGCTTAATTACCATGACACTTGCTAACAGCTAACAATAAAGCAGTAGCAGTAAACTAAACAGATTATACAGTAATTAACAGACAGCATTAGCCGAACGCTACCCGGTGATTTAAATACATACAGATGTCAGGATAAACAACATCTGGCCACTGTGTTGGGTCTAGGATATTTTATTGTCATTCACAACAAGGCTGTACAATGACATTTAGATATAGTTCATTTTATGTGACCTGCAAAAAGCAAAAAGACCAAAAAGAATATAAGAAAAATACAAAAAAAAGCATTAAAAATATAAATGATTATTAATTAGCATGATGAAGCCTGAGGGAAGGAGCAGCTCCTGTAGCTCTACCCAGATGACAGCAGGGCGAACAGGCTGTGGGTGGGTGGGTTGCTGTCTTTTAGGATCATTGGGGCTCTGCAGGCACCTCACCTCACCAACATCACGGATGCTGGGCGGCTGAGTAGCAGCGATCTTCTGGGGGGTTTGTAATCACCCGCTGCAGAGTTTGTGATGTTTCCAGTCAGGATGATTTCTATCGCTCCTTTGTCAAAGTTAACAAGAATTTGGCACAGGAATTTTGCTTTCTTCAGTTTCCTTTCTGTTATAGGGCGAAGATGTGAGATGACCATGACATGGTAGTACAATAGGGGATCATCCTGTATTGACAGATAAAATGCACTGTCCCTGTGTTTGCAGAGCTCTCTTTCTGTCTCCCATGGTCCGACTCTTAGTGACTCTTTATTTGCTTTACATGCATGTTGAGAGTGGCAGAGGACTTTGAAATTCATGCATAAAAAACACTAATTGTTGCATTAAAATTCACCAGAATAAAAGTGTCTGACACTAAAAATCTCATAGGGAAGGTTGACTTGTGTCCCTCAGCATGGGGGACGTGTCCCTTATTCCACGCTGAAGGTGGCACAATGAAGGTCAGTGGGACTGGGGGAAGACTGAAGGAGTGTGACGGCTGACGGTTCCTCCCGACAGATCAGTACTGTTGTTCTGCAGATTTCCAACCAGAGCTGCACGTGTTTACAGGTATCGATCGATCTGCCCACAGCGGTGACAATACCGCGTATAAATTCTGTTTAAATCTGTTTACACAGAGTACCAAACTGCGAGTTACCAGCGCAGCAATAATTCAGTTTAAATCAATAACACTCCGCCGAGAGCAACATCTATCTGAATTTAGCTGCTATAAACCAAACGGACATTCGTCTCCAGCACTCATCCTACTTTCATCTGCTGAAAATCCCCGATGTTCTCGGTCCAATTATCAAAGACCCTGTCATCTCTCTGCTCCTAGGTGTCTCATCTCCGCTCTCTGCTCAGTCACTGCGAGATCAGTCAACACACCAGGGGGGCCAGGGGCCACTGAGCCCCACCAGCCGAAAAACCACACACACACACACACGCTACATGTAGTGATAATATTATAACACTTAATGGCCTAAATCTAGAAATCTGAAATCCTAATTTTAACTTCAAATCCATTTTCTTGCCTCCCGCCAACAAAGTCTAAACCATTAATCCTGATTCTACTTTTAACTCTAAATGTTTTAACTCTAAACAACTGTGCATTAGATCATTCTTGTACTCTGACTGGCTGATATGATTCCCTTTTACTGTCCTGTCATCATCAGTACATAATGAGATCTCAAACCCTCCGCCCACCTCCCTCCGGCCTGCCATGTAATGTCAAAAACACAACTCAATCCTGCCCACAAGATTATTATATATATATTTTTATTATAATTCGTTCTAGTTGTTTTATATAAATTACTACCCCCTTCATATACAATTAAAATTAAATCCATTTCCATTTTTACAAATGTGTTTCATGTGGCTCAAAAAAGGGCAAAGGTCAATGATTTGAGTTGAGAATGGTTTAATAAGAAGAGAGGATTCATTTGATGTTTGGCTGCTAACAACAAAGATTATATAAATAGATCTAAATATAGAAACTGCTGTATGCATGTTTTTGTTAAGTATGATGTTAGAAATGGAAATACCCCCCCCAGTTTGAGTTTGAGACGTCTGCTAACTAACTAACAGACAAACAAACAAACTATCATTTGGGACTAAAACAAACTCCCTGTTACAAAAGTAGAGTCCAACCTAATGTGTATTAATTCTAGTGTGAATCAAACACAGACCTCCTGAACATCCTGAGGTTGTTGAGTCCAAACACACAGAGGCTGAAAGTGAACACTGTTACAGAAGGTCTGTATAAATTCACTCTCTCTTATTACTGCTTACACAACACTGCCCCGACATCCACACACTCTCCTTTAGGTTGACCTATATCATGGGGTTTGCACCTGCAGTAACCTTTCATTACGAGCCACGTAACACTACGACTAAACCTGCACAGTCAACAGCACCTGATAAATTAACCTCAGCATGTTATAGAGCATGCCCTGCACCTGCGGCTGTGAAGCCTGCTCACATTATCTTCACACGGTGGCCCGCAAAGTACCTCAGCGGACTGTATTTGTAAGAACAAAGATAGTGAGCTAACGGATGAACGGTTCCAGAGTAATTCTCTCACACATTTCTCTTAATTTAATATAAGAAAAGTCAACTCCAGACGCACCAAACGTTCTTAACCACCAAAACCTGCTCTCACCAGGTGAGCTGAATGATGAAAACCAATGGATCTTGAATTGGAGGCGTGATAGGCGATATAGATCGATAATTCAATCACTAAAACTACTCTAAAACAAAGAATAATGTGTTTATCTATGCTTTCTTTATGTTCCTCACATGTAAAACACATGTTTCCTTGCTTTAGACTATTTGTGGACTGTGACAGAGAGGGACCTCACATACTACTTTATTATTATTGTTTTCTTACTTATCTGTATATACATATATATATTTTACACTTGCCAATAAAGTTTGAATCTGAATTTAATGGACATGAAGAGAGGAGAAAAACATAAGAAAACATTGAATGTGAATAGTGAATCCCAGAATTCAATGGGTACTAACTAAATAAGAATAAATTATGGATATAAACAAAAATGAGAGAAAACTGGTGTTAATATATCGCTTTTTGTACAAGGTCCATTGTTCATTAACAGATGTGTGTGGTGGAGACTAATTTTTTTCTTTGTATGTATTTGTTTTAATGTACTTGGGAATAGAAAAGATTTACAGTTTGTTTTATATTTCATTGAAGCTTCTGTGGCCGTTCTGACTGTATCACCTACAGCGGCTGCAGTGTAAAGCTTTGGGTGGATGTGGAGGATCTGGACTTTATCTCTGTGGTTGATTCATTAGGTCTCCTGTTCAACTGTGGCTCAGTTAAAACTGTGTAAAGGAAGGCAATGAGAATGTCATTCAACCACTGCACTGCACCGGGCTGTACTGTTTAACTGTTAACCATCTAACTAATGATTCATGTAAATTAGCTCTGTAGTAATAGTTTTGTTCTGTAACAAGCTGAAGCAAACTAGCGAGCATTTTGCTAACATAAGCTTAACATGTGATTATATGTTTGTCGCTTTTATCTTTAACCATCTTTATAATGACAGGAAATGAGGAAGCTGACAGAGGCTAGCTCAACTGTTATTGGAGCGGGGCTTTGAAGAGTCACATGTGAGGCAAAAAGCAAACTGTAGATAAAATAAACATAATTTTATGCAGCAGAAATATGTTTTTTTCTGTTTTCATCACTCTGAGATTGACGTTCATTGTGATTGATGGAGAGCAGATTTCCTTTTTCTAAACTAATACAATAAATAATAATAGGATGATTAGAAGACGTTATTAGTTAAATATGATCCAGAATAATAACATTAAGACATTAATTGTTAGCATTGTGAGTCTTTTGCAGGTTATAACATATTAGGGCTGAATGATGGTAAAAACATCACATTGTGATTATTTTGACAGATATTGTGATATGATTTGCGGAATGATTATTTTTGCGTCGCAAATTTAATTTTCACTGAAAAAACTATTAAAATCATGATGATTTGACATTTTTTGGGGTCTATATAAAAGATTTGTAGGCCAAGCATCTCTGCAGCACTACATTTTACTTTTATCAAAAAATTCCAGCTTCTTCAATTTGCATATTGCACTTAATAAGTGTGCAGCCCTATGACACACAAAACATAGCTCAAGTTAAGTAAAACGTTACATTTATTATTTATTATTTTAAGGTTTTTTATACCAAGCATAATGTAAAATGATGAAAATTATAAGATTCAGTATAATTAAACTGAATAATTCAAGTGATATATGAGCACACATTGCAATCATAGGTTAAAATACTGCTAGACATGGCTGAAGAATAAAAGTGTTAGTTAATGAAGAGGCGTTTGGAAGCTGAGCCACATGATCTGGATCAATAAAAAGAGCCAAAATCACCAGCATGACTATAAATCTTACAACAGAATATCTGGAGGTGGAAGTCAAACACATTCATTGATGTTATTTAGATGCATTCAGTGGCTTTTTAAGTTTGACCCACAGTGGGGACATGTAAGTTGCTGTAGTAACACTCTATGGCACTTTCATTGTTTCCTCAGTCTGCTGCTGTCTACTGGATGATGGCTGAACTTTGTTCCAACTTGCTGCCATGGCAACCACAGAAACCACACAGCGAAATAATGCAGGAAATAATTTTACTGGTATCTTGGTTCCCTGATGAGATTACAGTAGATGAATTGCAGCAACCTGCAGCGTGTTCGGCGTGTTTGTAGGATGTGGTTGGCGGTCGCTCTGCTCTGAAAGCACTTTCATTTGCAGTCCTCATATCATTAATAAATACTTTTAAACGTGTAAAACAAAGTCCAAGTTACTGCTGATAATTCAGGATTCAGGAGACAGCCTGAGAGGTTTTATGATTTAATTGGTCTGTTTACATTATTGTACATTTAGTTTAAAGTATTCTAAAGCAATCTCATGAAACACCTGCAACTGCTGGTGTTAATTTGAAGCGGCGCAGCGATTAGAGCGATTCGGCTAATTGGGCAGCTTTCTCAGCATCAGATATGAATCTCCACGGCTGTGTGATGGTCGTCACAGGTTTTATCTCTCAGAGTAGGCGTGTTTCTGTACTTACTATGTACCCTGGAGCGCACACACAAGCTCCAGTGATGCCGTCGCAGTCGGCTCCGTTGGCACAGGCACACAGCTCCCTGCAGCCCTCGCCGTAGTAACCTGCCGGGCAGGTCTCGTTACAGTAAAGCCCCGCCCATCCTGCTGCACAGGTGCACTCTCCTGACAGAGGGTGACAACTGAGAGAGAGCAGACGTCAGTCAGTAAAGTGCATATTTCAAGCTGCATGTAGAACTAGTGCAAAACATTTTTGGTAGAGAAATAAAAGCCTATATGAAGATGTAGCGCTGCACCATCAGTGTTTTTATTATAAACATTTCAATTCTTCATTTTAGATGTTTAATGTTTTATGTTTCTGATCAACCTGCAGATGAAAATCAGCCTGTGTTGCTAAATCTGACACATTTACATAGTGGACTTAAATGAAAAATAAAAAAATAAAATGTGTTTTTTGTATTAAAAAAAGGCAAACCCACTCTGCAGTACCCCAAAGTACACATGGAAGGCTGAGCTGTATTCAAACGGTTGCAATCTGCAACTTCACCACTAGATGCTACTCAATCCTACATACTGGCACTTTAATATGCTGATATCCTTCAGGAAAGACATTGAAAGCAGACACTTTAAGTTCTGTATATCTATTTAAAGATGATGAATTTAACTTTCTTTAGTTGGAATATAGCAGGTTTGTGATGTATGGACTCACATGGAAAGTTTTATGGATTGTAATTGAAGTGTTAAAAAAAAAGACACTGAAGTGCAAAGACAGCTATAACAAGCTACTCAAACACAACCTTCTTCTATTCATACTGAGTTGTGCAGTGCAAAATCATACAGTAGATAGTTTCTGTACCTTAGTGTGTTTGCAGTTTTGCAGGGGCAGTATTTGTCACAGATGAGTCCGTACAGGCCTGTGGGACAGAAGCGGTCCTGGCAGCTGGGGCCCTTAAAGCCCTCATTGCAGAGGCAGGCCCCGTTGATGTGGTAGCACTTGGCCCCATTCTGACAGTCACACTTGTGGGCGCACTGCGGCCCGTAGGTGCCAACTGGGCATTCATCCTGGCATCTGGGTTGGTATTAGAAACAATAACGGAGCAGCGGTGAGAAGATCTGAATGTGTTTCTGGTCAGACTTGCTGAATGAGCGAGGTTGTTTCTTTAATAGGCACTAGCAAAAAATAAGAGATATTTCCAGGTACATTGTTGTAAACTTATTTTCCAGTCGGCCCAACATCCCCTTTAAAAGTTCTTGTGAATCTTTGCCTGCTAAAATGAGTTATTCTTATAATAATGTTCTGACTTCTACAGGACACTGGCTTTCATTTTACTCTAGTTAATGAAAGAAAATCATATTTGAAAGTTATGATATTAAGTTGGAACGCGGTCTTTGAGTTGCACAGACATATTTTATGGATATTTTATATTATATTCAATGTATAATTCATTGTTTCCAGTTTTAATCAAGCTGTTCTCTACTGTTATTGTTATACATTAGAATTATAATATATAAAATATC